TTTTGATGAAAAAAAAAGGAATAACCTTTTTCAACTTTAAATATATGAAAAAATTTAGTATTAATATAGTCTATTTCTAAAATTTTGATAGGCATATAAAATAACAAACCTAAAAAAAAAAAAAAATACCAGTAAAGAGTGCATTTAAGTACTATTTAAAAATGTGTTAGGGTTCTTAAATTTGGAAGAAAAGTAGGGATATCACTAATAAAAAATATTAGGAAAATTTTTAAAACAGGCTTTCCTTTTCAGAAACTGATTTAAATCAATTAGACAAACCAAAACTAAAAATAAACATTTAAAAAAATTAATTTAATGAAAAATACATTTGATTTTGCATTTTTAGGTAATTATTGAGATTTACATTGTCAGTGTACACATGTTTTAAATAATTTCAAATTTAATACAATGTTGGTAGAAGCCATTTTTACTTCGTAAGCGTGACCAGTAAGAAAAAAATATTGCATTTTTTTAAATTTATAATATTATTTTTATAAGAGTTGAATTTAATTCCTTTTCTGACTATCTGACAAAAAGTAATGTTATTTTGCTTTTTTTTTGTATCTCAAATTTTTAAGGTTTATGAAACTCCTGCGTGTTTTAAACCTTTAATGCAGTAAATTACTATAATTTATGTTTATAACATTAGTGAAATATATAGCAGATACTAACAAATAATTAAAATTTATAAGATATATGTATATGCATAATGATTGATATTTTTAAACTTTAAGATTTGGAGGGTAAGAACCTTAAATTAGACTATTTATTTTATATTTAAATGAATTTTTATACAAAAAACTTATCTAAATAAATTTGTATGTAGCTGAACACTCTTTGAGATAATGTTGCATGGTATTACAAGCCTTGTGTTGGTCTACTTAACTGTGTTTATTTATCAGAGATCAAGTCTAAAGATAATGCAGATGCCAGATGGGTGGAGCCTTATAATTCTTTATGTACGCCCAAAAGAAATATATCCTCAGCCTAAATTTTCTCCAAGACATTTAAGATCCATAATGCATTAGCTGCCTTGATATTTATTACCATAGGCCTTAAATACACTTCTATGTAGTTTTAGGAGCGAATTTTTAAAGAGAAAAAAGTCATGCCTATTTCATTGTGAAGAAGGGATTTTATCTCAAGGAAAGTATTATGAATTGGATGACTTAGTCCAGCGGTTCTCAACCTGTGGGTCGCGACCCCTTATGGGGTCGCACGACACTTTCACAGGGGTCGCCTAAGACCATCTGAAAACACATATACTCTGCAGTTATAAAGTATCAACGAAAAGAATTTTGTGGTTGGGGGTCGCCATAACACGAGGAACTGTATTAAAGGGTCGTGGCTTTAGAAAGGTTGAGAATCACTGACTTAGTCAATCTAAACATAAAATAATTTAATAGTATATGTTAATTAAATAGATAAAATTTAGCTTCTAGGAATTTAACCTTAAAAATTAACAAATTAAAGCTTCAGACCGTAAATAAAAGCAGATAATTTTTTTAAGGTGTATAATTTTCATTATCTACTGAACTGCTTATGCAAAGTGGTGGTCTGCAGATTAGCACCTGAACTGTGGAAATTTCATAAATTTAACAAGATTGGAGAATTTTAAACAAATATTTGGGTATAGATAAGAGCCCTCGTAACCATTTTGGAGACCTCTGACTTTTTTCGATTATGTAATTTAGCTAAGCCCTTATTCTTTTGACTTTGGGAGGCACTGGTATATTATATAAGCATATTATTAATTATAAAGTTATAAATCTAATATGACTTTTGTCTATCTCATTTCTTATCAAGATATTGATGATTCATTCATAATGATGTGTAACTTATACTTATATTTAACAACAGTTCAACAGTCTCATGACTTGATACTTTATATATTATAGTATTATAGGGCTTACTTACATTTTTTATAGTAAGCTTTTTAAAGATACAATACCAGTTGTAAACAACTAGTCTGAAAATACAACACAATTGACAATTATTAGTATTAGTAATCAGTAATCAGTCTAGTAATTAGTCTGATAATTAGAGTCTAAATGGTACTGCAGGCATCGGTCTTCAGCCCTCCCTGAGACTAAATATTAGATTAAAAAGTATAGACATAGGCATAGGCTAAGTTAATTATATAGACAATAGAAGAGGCAGAATAGTAGTTAGTAAGGTTAGTTAAGTTAGTAGAGTGGATATCACAATTCATCAATTCAATAATATGGCCATGGCCATAGCCTAAGGAATTAATAATGAATGGCTAATTAAATTTGTCTAATTTCTATTTTTTAAATTAGACCAATAAATTAAACAATATAATTTATAATTTAAATAAACAAATAACGCATACATACATCAACTGAATATCCTGATAAAATAAACATAAAATTGTCAGTGACAATGTGAACAATTTTGAGTGAGTTGAATGTAGATTACTAATTACTATTCATTAATATAAATCTATGTCTACACTGAACACTGGGTTCGTTTACAGACTTATGCAACACAATTATAATACAGTTACTTACATTCACGATCACAGGCCAAGGCCACATTCACGTGAACATACGTTATAGCAGCTGTAGGCAGGCATTGCCGTAGCCTGCATTCCTACATTAGTGTAGTATTAGTAAATAACTAAAATGATTACTCCACACAATTAATACAAATACTAAATAAATCACAATCACGGTTACTATTACTGAACTGAATTAGTCTAAATTACTGTAACTAATAAAAAGGAATAGAATTTAGATTACTTAGAACTTAGACTTAGAAGAGGACCTGAAAGTACCAGTGCAGTCAACGGCTTACCCAGTCAACAGTTGTTTTTTTTTATTATTATTATTATTAAGCCTAAGCATATGCTTATTATTAATTATAGTTTGACTCATTATTAAATGAATACTATTATTTATAATAAATATTATTATTATATTATTTATTATTACTAATTACTGTTTTAAGTGTTGATTACCTTGCCCTAAAAGTTAATTAACAAAAAAAAAATAATCAAAAGCAGCTACTCTGAGCTACTGAACTCATTATAAATTACTAAAGTAAGTCGGTATAAGTGAAAACTTACATATAATTAAAATATAAATAAGCATACAACTTAAATAATTATTTATACTTTTCTTGGCTATAAAATAGTAATCCGATTTCATTTAAATGCAGCAGACGCAACTATACGTCTATGCTATGTAATGTAGTTGATTTTTTTGAGTTCATTTTAACGATTTCAGCTAACGACAAACTGGCGGAGCTCTCACGTGACCAGTCTATTCTTTGACCTAGTTAATAAGCTAAAAATATTTTTTTTTTCTTGGGCACAAAAATTACACAACTTTAGATTATCCTTAGACATGATTTTGTTGTGATTTATGTATAAATTATAAACATTAAAGCTTATAAATCTGAATTCAAATGACTTTCTTCAGAATATATTGTAGAAAATGTTTGATTCAGGAAATTCCCATCTAACAGTTTATCGATTCATAAAATGTGACTTACAAGAAATAACCGACCTATTTTCGATTTTGTTCTAAGAAAACTTAAATTAAAAAAAAAACAATTTACGGTTATAATTTGGAAATTGAACAATGTCTTCTCTGACAGGTAGAGATCTATTTCAATGATTGAAGACTCTCTTTTTTAATATGTTAAGATGATGATTATTTGAGTTCATAGTCATACTTAGAACTAACTTTGTTGTTAAATTAAAGTTTAAAGTAGACTATTTTAGTTTCTATTTTCTATTTAAATTAAAATGTAAATATTTAAATTTAGGCTGATGCCAGGGCTACACTCACACTGTCACTACTGAGCTGTTTAATAAAGTTTTTTTTTTTTTAAACTATGTACAAAGAGTCCAAGCTGAGTCTTATTTAACTTACTAAGTTGTAATAAGAGTCTTCTTAGTTAACTTATTATTACTAAGAGTAGTCTGACTTAATCCGACTAAATTGTCTAAATTGATACTATTACTAATAGTATTACTCAGACTGTTAGAGTATTAGTAACTAGTATTATTAGTAGCAATGTTATGGTCAGTATTATTGTAACTGTAACTCTAAGTGAGCAGTTACTTTGTCAGTTTTAAATGTTTTACTCAGTATTTGGCTTGGACTTTGGTCAAATATGATAATGAATGATAAATGTCACTCAACAAATTAAATACTGTTACAAAACGTATTCAAGATCAAGTTTTTTTGTTGTTTTTTTTGTAAAAGCATCACTGTCTAAATATTATATTTTTTAGATTCAGAAGATGAGGCTGACCAGCGTCCATCGTTTGGTAAATCATCTTCTATCTCCAAGCGACAAGGATCTAAAAAATCCCCTTTTAAACGAACATTTGCCAAGGTTACTGCAGGTGGAGATGCAGGAAAGAATGGGAGCAATGAAAGTGATCCGATTCCTGCTAAATTTGTTAAGAAAAAGGATCCAAGTCAAATGGAGATGTCAGAAGCTGCTCGCAAAATGATGGTAACTGTGAATTATTAGACTTAGACTGATATTATTCAATTTTCTTTGAAGAATGTTTTATAAAAGTTTAACTTCTTAGCATTTAAAGCGCTATCATAGTCAAGAAAGGGAGAGGAGGTTGGGGCGCACATTACCTCTTCATTATAGTTAGTGTTACCCATCATTTTTTATTCCTTTAAATATATAGATATATATATATATATATATATATATATATATATATATATATATATATATATATATATATATATATATATCACCATTCAAGATAATGTATAAAAAAACTGCTTTAAAAGGAAATAAAGTAAGTCCATTATTCTTGCTATTTGTTAAGTTTATAAGAATGCATAACCCTGGCCTTTGTTTTTAAAAACAAGTTATTAAAGTAGTATTACAAACATGTCAAGAGATTTGATCAAACCTGCAGAAAAAAATAATGCTGAAAGACTGTGGTGTTCATTTTCAGCCAGGGAAACAACCCAATTAAAAATGTGATGAGTCTAGAATTTAATGTTCTACAGGAGAGCTGAGTGTCTTCTGAAGTCTGAAGTGTAAGCCTTGAGAGATGCATTACTTCCATTGAGAATAGTTGCCTAACATTTGATGCAAGCTAATGCAATACATAGCTATAGACAATTGAAACAACATTTGAATATAACTTGTCACTCTATTAGATTAATGAAATATTTTGTCTTTATCCAATGATCAAATAGTATGTCTTTATCCAATGATCAAATAGTATGTCTTTATCCAATGATCAAATAGTATGTCTTTATCCAATGATCAAACAGTATGTCTTTATCCAGTAATTATTAATGTCAGGAAAGAATGGGTTAAATATTAGAAATAATTTATACATTTTTACTATTCAATTAAATTATAACCTTTTTTTTTTTTTTACAAAGGCAAAAATGGGTCATAAAGAAGGTGAAGGTCTTGGTAAACATGGCCAAGGTCGAACACAGATTGTTGAGGCATCAAACCAAAGAGGACGTCGGGGTCTTGGTATGGTTGTTCCTGGATTGGAACCAGCTGATGTAGATTGGGACTTTAATAAGGAAGAGGTAAGAAATGTTTGGTTGTCAATTTAGGCTAAAATTGTTTTATTGAATTATCTGTATTTTTCTTTTATCATACCATGTTTATTGAATGTATATTGCTTTTTTATTGTACCTTTTTGAAATAATTTCCTGTTTTCTTTTCATTTTTATTGTGATATTTGATGAATTGACAGATCATTATAGATGAGGTGGTAGAATGGCTTCCACCTTACACTGGCAAGATACCATTTTTAGACGAAATGAAGACATGGATGGTGGTTGGTCCTGTGAGTATTTTATCTACTGTTAAGTTAATAAATTAAAATATGATTTTTAAACTTTTTTTTTCTGGCATCCATCCGTCAAAATATGATGAGGGTGTAGACTTCACAGGATGAAATCACAAGGCCTGGGATTTTTATCTTTAGGAGTATAAACTGGTTCCCTAGACACCAAATCACCTGTCTCCACACAGCTGGATAATCAAAGGGAACACCATGTATGGATGATACTGCTTGGCACCAAAGCATCACAGTTATCGCAATTTTTCATTGTGTCAATTTTATCCCCCAACGTCATCCATCTCTGGGTTACCTTTTCTTAGATGATTTGCCATCCAAGGTTAAAAGGTCCCATCTACCCAGGGTGGTGGAATGTTTTTGCCTGATTTGGTCTTAGGTGTGGATTTAGCTCCAGACCACAAGCTTGGGATTGACTCAGTTTAGTCCAACTCTGTCACCCAGCATCCAAAATATTAAATTATATTTAACATAAAATATTATATTACTAGGTTAAATATTATGTTATATATATCTTGTGTGTAATTTTTGAATTAGCTTCATCTTGCATTATATTGCCTTTGAACGTATTTAGAAGAAGAGAGAGATTGATGATGAGACACAGTTTTGCTCAGAAGAAAGCCTCAAATTGGTACTCAATGGCAAGGTGAGATTTCTTACTTCTAGCAGACACAAAATTAAATATATATATTTATCCAAGCTTTTCACTGTTCATTTTTTTAAATTAATAAAAAAAATTTAAGATAATTGGTTTTCAAGGGTGAGATGGTATTAAGTGGTGGGGAGGAAAAAAAGTCTGTTGATTCCATGTTTTCCTGATCTTTCTTTAGAGTGTATTTGATGTTCTTGAACCAGAAGAAATGAGAAGAGCTAGAACAAAATCCAATCCATACGAAACAATAAGAGGGGCCTTCTTCTTGAACAGGTGAGAAATAATAATAATTTTCTTGTGTTGCAATTAGCAAAGATTTTTTGCAGTGGATTTCTTGCATGCAACCGTGGTGGTAAGGTTAGCTTGTGTTGTGAGTTGGGATATTCTGTTGACCAGGTCTTATCATTTGACCTGAATACTTCACTGTCACATGCTATAAGCAAGTTCCTCTCAGGTAGCAACACAGTTATCATTCACTTCTCCACAGAGCACATAGCTTGACAAGATATACTTTGACAATGCTTAAAAATAACTCGCTTCAACATTGCATTTTTACTAAGTCATTCCATATAGAGTTGATCTTTGCCTGAATCCACATGTTGAAAATCAATTAGTTTATGACCTTTACAGTGCTTCATTAAATTTAACCAAATTTAGCTAATGTTGGTTGAAAATCAACTTAACATCTTCAAAAAATGTGTTTCAGAGCAGCTATGAAGATGGCCAACATGGATGCAGTTTTAGACTTCATGTTCACCAATCCAAAAAATGCAAAAGGGGTAAGAGCTCTACTATTTTTTCCAATGACACCTCTACTTAATTTAATTTCAGTGTTTGGTTTAGTGTAACAGTTTCTTCTTCTTCTATATCTTAAGGGCCCACGATCAATTTATTGATCATTTTGGCTCCTATGCATGTAGATGGGATTTGCAATTTTTCTGTTTCTGGTGTTGATGAGGAAATTTCACTGATTTCCAGTGCCACTTTGTAAGGGAATCATGCACTAGGGGTTTGACGGCTTGAGGCAATAGACACAAAAGTGTCTAGTGTTGTTGCCTCAACCGTTCCTTTTGAAAGATTGTTCCGGTCCCTGATTGTCTTGGGCAGGAATGAGCAGCTCCTATACTGGCTTCTTGCTGATATGAGCCTGAATTGCCTGTCATGGCCTCGTCGCTGTCTATGGGGGAGAGGGAAGAGTTTCTGTTTAATACTGGAACAGTGGACCAGCCTATTATTTATCTTGTACATCACGGAGAGGCTGGATTGTTGTCGTCGTTCCTCCCATGGTGACCAGCCTAGTGTTTCCAGCATGCTGCCAACACTAGAGGTATTCCTGTAGGGGTTTAGGACAAAGTGTGCTGCTTGTCGCTGGACCGCCTCCAACCTGTCAATGCTCTTCTGGGTAAATGGGTCCCAGTCTGAAGATGCATAATCTAAAATCGGACGGACAAAGGCTTTATATGCTCTTTCTTTCACACAGGAGTTGCCAATCTTTAGATTTCGCCTTAAGAACCCTAGGGTCTTGTTTGCTTGGTTACATACATTGTTAATATGCTCGTCCCAGCGGACCTCTCTTTGAATGGTAACACCCAGGTACTTTACGGAGGAAACTGGCTCAAGTATATGGCCGTGCAGTTCGTATTGGTAGTGTAGAGGAGTACAACTTCTAGAGACTGATAGTGCCTGGGACTTGGCAGGGTGAAATTCCATGTCCCAGCTCATCTCCCACTCAGCTAACAGATTGAGATCCTGTTGTAGCTGGTCCTGGTCAGATCTGTTGGCGATCGTCCTATACACCGCTGTGTCATCTGCGAACAGACTTGCTTGTGATGTCAGTTTCTCGGGTAGGTCATTAATGTATGCTAGGAACAAACAGGGGCCCAGGACTGATCCCTGGGGGACCCCTGACTTCACATCGACAAAGGAGGAGCTTGTACCGTCCACCACTACTGCTTGGCATCGGTGGCTGAGGAAGCTAGAGATCCATGTTTTAGTGGTGCCTTGGATCCCATATATCTGGAGTTTGTGTAGAAGCAAACTATGATTCACACGGTCAAATGCCTAAGTTTTGTTGTATTACTTAAGCTGTAGTTCTAACATCAATTCAGATTTATTATGGAGATACATTTATTTTCACTATGTACAAGTAACAGAAAATATCTGTTATAAAATCAAAAGCTAATTGTGCATAAGCTTTGTTTGACAGAAAAGTCCTATCTAATTATAAATAGGCTCTCTTCATAAAACCATCAATTAACCACTCATTTGAAAATGTTCTGTTTCATGTTATTATTACTTGAGCTATAGAGCAGTGCAAAGCTATTTCTGTACTGAGACAGACATAAATTAACTTTGCTATTTCAATGTCCTCCCAGGAACCTCTAGTTGAGCCAAATGAATTGCTCTACTTTGCTGATGTCTGTGCAGGACCTGGAGGTTTCAGTGAGTACATTTTATGGAGGAGAAAAGGTGAATCTAAAGGCTTCGGTCTAACCCTAAAAGGATCCAATGACTTCAAACTGGAGGATTTCTTTGCTGGGCCACCAGAAATGTTTGAGCCTCATTATGGTAAGTAAAATCTATTTTCATACCCTGGGAAATTATAGGAAATGAGCGAAACAAAGTATGGGAAATCCTGAAAAAAGGGATGCAACAAAACAACCAACATGTTGGCAAGAAGCCTGCTCCAGCAAACAAACAACAGTAAAACAATATAAAATTAAAATAAACACTCATTTGCAATATAGCATCCGAGAGGACAGCAAGAGGAAAGTGACTTGTGAATGTTGTTTGTTTACTCAAGAAGGTTTCTTTCTGACACGGTCGTTGTTTTCTTGTGTCCTTTTTTTTTTCAGGTTTTCCCATTCTTTGTTCCCTCATTTCCCTTTTACCTAAGCTGATTGCAGTCTCTCCCTCTAGTGACCTGGGAAATAATTTTTTGCAAACAATTTTAAAAGCATTTCCTCTTTAATTTAAAAGTCCAAAGTGAAGTCATTTTTGTAGTCACTGAGAAAGATCGATAAAGTAAAAAAGTTAAATAGATCACTATCAGCTGAATCTTGGGGTGTACACTTCCACATTTTGAGAATTTTACCTTTCCATAGGTGTTGGGGGGCTGCAAGGTGATGGTGACATCTTTAGAGCAGATAACCAGGCAGAGTTTGACAAGTTTGTCCATGCCAACACAGATGGCAAGGGAGTGCACTTTGTCATGGCTGATGGTGTAAGCTTGTATTGTTTTAGATGAAAATATTTACATTCAACATACATAACTAATAATGTAAAGGTACATGTACAGCTTTGTAAGCTGTCTAAGTAGAACATAATATATAAGTGATTTATAATTTTTAATCAGATATGAGATAATCTTTAAAATTACTTGATTCCTTATAATTAGCTGAAGGGTAATGCATAGATTGTGTCTAGTTGTTAAATTGAGCCCATTTATTGAATGAACTCAGTTTTCAAAACAAATGTTCTGATACATAATTATTTCCATTACAGGGCTTCTCAGTAGAAGGCCAAGAGAATATACAAGAGATATTATCTAAACAGCTCTACTTGTGCCAATTTTTGGTTGCTATCATGATTCTTCGAACAGGTAATCTTTCTGCTTTTTTAAATATTGTTGTTTCTACACCGTTAAGCATAATTTTTTTAATGAATTTAATTATGTCTGGAATTGCCTCCTTAAGTTTTGCACAGCATTCGTTTAACACATAGTAAAATATCACATTTTTAAAAAAGTAAAAATGTTCTCTTTATTTTATGAAAACCTTATCCAACATTGTGAAATTTATACATTTGTCAGTTATCATAGCCAACTCATCATCTGAAATGATCTTATTCTTGGTTGGCTTGATGCATTGCAATGTAATAGCTGCCACTCCATCTGAAATCTTCATCCCCAGGAGGTCATTTTGTGTGCAAGTTGTTTGATCTGTTCACACCATTCAGTGTTGGTTTGGTTTATTTAATGAACATGATCTTTGAACAAGTGGCCATCTTTAAACCTGTTACAAGTAGGCCTGCCAATTCAGAAAGGTGGGTCTGGACTTGTTAATAAAAATTGCTACTGTTTTATCAATATCATCAGCCTGAATTTTTTTTTGTCCTGCTGGATTTTAAGAAAAGGTGTAAGAGCTTGTCTTGATAAGACCAGACTGCTTATTTATTTATTAGCCTTAGCTTGAACCTAATTTAGTCATTAGCTCTTAATGTCATTTTCTTAAAAGTTCTATTTATTTCCACTCAATTGTGGTCTTTTATCTTTAGATGCACACAGATTATTGGTTTAAAAATCCAAAATGTACTTTTATATGAATTCAATTAATTTTGTATTTAATGAAACGACTAAGCACAATGGACTGTAATAATATATTCATTTTGTTTTTTGCCTTCTCATGTGGTTATTATGAAAGAAGTGAGCATAAATATATAATTTACATTTTTAATATATTGATAATCCTTTAATTTAACTTCTTAATTCTTCAAGACTTTGGAAAGCATGAAATATAAGCTCTCAAAGGTTTTGAAAGCTTTAATGAAATCTGCTGTCTTGGTCCTTTGAACAATGTCACAATCCATTAATTTGTTTCTTGTACAGATACATAGTTTGTAAAAACTTGAAGGCAGATAAAGATTCAGTGCAGCAGTATTTTCACACCATCAACTTGGGCTTATGTCAGTACATGTCGGCTGTGTCCTCACAGGACATTTTACATATAGTGCCCCTAGACACCCTCACCAATGATGAGCCATTTTTTACATACATTGTCAATTCTAATGAGCAGTAAGTCTTAAATGTTTATAATTATAAGTAAAACTTCCTTGATGCTGAAAGAAAGATCATATATCTTTTAAAGTTTTTTTAATACCTTAAAATTGGCCTGAATCCAATTTTCCTTTATATTATATTTAATTTAAAAGAACTAAGCATGGGCTTTAGAAATAAAATTAAGTATAATATATTAAATAATTTGCATGTGTTAAACTGGAAACAGTTCATTGTGCAAGAATATATTACTTTCATCTTTTATAGTGAACGCAATAAAAGATTGTTTATCTTTTACGCATCTCAATATTAAAATTGTTACGAATGTCTTTATTTTTTAAACCTTATATTTTATGCTTCTTCTATCCAACAAAATTTTGTTTAAAATTCATTGCAGACTTGCAAGACTACAGGCCATCAATTTGAAAAAAATTGAAGTATTTACAAAAAACAGGTACAAACTCATTGCAAATAATATTTTAACATTTATATTCTTTAAATTCTCTCCATCTTTTGTTTCATTTTTGTTAGTTTAGCATGTGTTAAGTTTTCATTTCATAATTGATGCCGTTTATTTAAAGTGATACAATTATATATATTCCAGTCAACTGTATGAGACAAGGCAGTCTGATGTTCGGAAAAAATGTTTAGAGAAATGGAAGGTGAGCATTTCATGAAAAATCCAATGACCCTAATGGTATTTCTCTAAATTTTTCCTTTTTCAATTTAATATAAATTTAAAAACAAAAGATACAAATTACAGATTGTTAAATTTTTATTGAAAATTTGAAAGAAAAAATAATGATATGCATTTTTTGTCTCATTTACTGCATAAATGTGACATTATATTTTGCTACAGATACCAGATGAAATAAGAGCTCCTCCTGGGCGACCTGATCCAATGGCCACTTTCCGTGCACTTATGAAGGTTTACGTTTTTGTTATTTTCTGTTAAATTAATTAGTTCAAGAATTATTGTACCTACTTTTGGCTTTTAAAGAAATGCATTCAAATCAAATTTGTATTTGTCTTTAGAATATAATATTAGCTCTATATAGTCCTTTTGTGATATATGCTCAATCACAGATGTAAATCAGATAAACTTAAAAACATTTTAAAAAATGAATTTTAAAATTGTATGTTATTGACCTGTTTTGCAGGACAGCTCCAAAGAGATTTTTGAAGAAACAGGCCAGGAATTGACGCACAGCAGACTTCACACCATCAAAAGCTTGTACAGCTACAGCTGTTTAGTGAGAGGTGAAGGAGCCAGTTTCTATCTGCTGGGCTGTGGAGTGAGTCATCGCTTTGTTATCTCATTAACATCACAGAATAGTTTATTGGAGCAATGCCCCTTTAAATTTGGTCATTTTTATTTTAAAAAGTGCATCCGACTTTTTCTGTGTGTGATTATTTGATTTTATTATTATTTCAAAGTTTTTTCAGTTTCCTTTTGTAGGAACTAAATTAATATATTAATATAGAGTTCTTGATTCCCTGCTGTTTGTATAAACTGTTTTGTATAAAAAAAAATAAGTCATAATTTGTATTCTTTGTGTTTGCATTTTTTCATTAGCTCTTTTTAATTTACATAAGTCGTGTAATTTTGTTGTTCAGAGAGCCAACTCCTACAAATGGGATGGTAAATCCAAAATCTGGTGGACTAAGTTGGAATCAAGAGTTGAGCTGCCCAATAAAACTTTGTTGGAAGTCCAATCTGTGACGGAGATGAAAGGGGAGGTAAGCTACTGGTGCCTAATCTCCACACCATCCTTTGAGCTTGGTTAGCAACTTAGATCATTAGTTGAAATCATTTGATGTATTTTGTTAGGATTTTCTTTGAAAAGATGCTATTGAAATGGGAAATAGAAAATCAAATATTATGGTTATACTGATGTGTATTGTTTTTGGTGCATTAAAGGTAAATAAATAATTTGGGGTTAATTTTTACATTAGGCATTTTCCGTGCACTTATTATAATATTTGTCATATTAATAAGAATGCTATTATTTAAAAATAAAAAATTTCATTGTGTTAGGGCAAAGGTCAAAGGCGTTTAACAACCATCCATGTTCTAGATGCCTTTTTCCTTTGTGGTGAAGATGTCCGAGGGATGTCATTTGAGAAAAGGTGAGTCTCTTTGAATTTACTATTGATAAAATACTTAGCCAACATTTCTCATTGGTTTCATAAGCTTCTGTCGAATTTGAAATACACCAAAAACATACAATATGTGACTCTTTGAATGTTTTGATAAATATTTCTAATTTCTTGCTCCAGCAACAAATTAGTTAAATGAAATTTCATTTGAAAAGTCATCATTAATGAAGGATAACAACTGTATAAAATGAGTAAGTGCAACTAACTTAGTCTTATATTCCCATTACAAATGGAGGGAAAAAATATATTAAAATGGTTTTTAGACCTTTTCTTTTTAAATTCCAGACAAGAAAAGCTCCAGAAGTTTATAAAAGCTCTATGGAAGCCAACAAGATCTGACTTGACCCAAATCTACAAACTGGACATTTTTCCTCTCCACAAAGCACATGAAATATTTGAAAGGCAAGTCCTGCTGTTGCTGGGTGCAAAAATTTCTTTCAGAAACTAGATCTTTGCTTCATAGAAGCTGATGTGATGTGTTAGCTTATTGGCCTGATCATTAAGGCCCTACTTTTGTTTGAAAAATTACTTTGAAAAGAGGTGTGGTTGATTAGGCGCACAACACTTTAGACTTTAAAATAATGCCAATTCACAAATATTCTATGCTATTTTGTGTGCAGACATATTTACATTGAAGTTCTTTGATCTTCTTTCTTATGACCTTTATATTTGTGATTCTGTGGAACCACCTGATGTTTTGGTTTCTATTCATGGAGGCTTAAAGTCTTTTCCAATCTTTCTTTTCTGAAATATTCAAAATTAAAAACCTTAATCTTCTGATTATTTTCTCTCTTTATGTCTGCCTAGAGTTCCAAAGATCTGTAGGTAAAGCAAGAGCCTATTTGCCTTCTGTGTTCTTTCCATGATATTTGCCTCATATCCAATATCTTTGCTAAAGTTAACCTCACAGTCCTTGCTGTTTTATAGCAATCTTCAATTTCCCTCCTATCTTATTTAATTAATTTACTTATTTATTTATTTCTAATCTTTTACATTTCCCCTAATCTCATAAGCAAACTTTGATTTCATGGGACACTTCCGTAGTTAAATATGTCGAACTATTTCCTGTAGACTACATATCTATACAACAGGCTAAGAGTGTTTGTTTCTATCTTGTAGACTACATATCTATACAGCAAGTTAAGAGTGTTTGACTCTGTCTTCAACAGTTTTTTTGCTGTAGATTAGGCCGAGATTTTCACTTTCTGTTATTGTCTTTCTTCAGGTTTTCCTCTTCTTCTTAAGCCTTTTTACCCCATGTGGGGCATAGGTGATCCACAAGAATTTTCCAATCATCACGATCCTGTGCTTTCCTTTTCAATTGCTTCCAGGTGTATCCCATATTTTCCATGTCTGCCTCTAGCTTGCGTTTCCATTTATTCTTAGGCCTTCCTCTCTTTCTTTTTCCCTGTGGATTCCATGTTAGGCATTGTCTGGTGATGCTACCTGGAGGGTTTTCCGAAAGTATGCCCTATCCACCTCCATCTTTTCTTTATGATGTCTCCAATCAATGGGCACCTGGTATGTCCTTTCTAGTAGATCTTTGTTGGTGATGGTATTTGACCATTTGATGTTCAGGACCTTTCTAAGGCATGTGTTTATGAAGGCCTGTACTTTCTGCGTAATGTTCACTGTTGTTTTCCAAGTTTCTGCTCCATATAGTAGGACTGTTTTGACATTTGTGTTAAAGATTCTGACTTTGGTTTGCAGCTACAGCTCTTTCGACTCCCATAGTTTCTTTAATAACACAAATGGTGATCTAGCTTTTCCAATTCTAGCCCTTACATCCGCGTCAGATCCAGCATTTATGTCGATGGTGCTTCCTAAGTATGTGAAGGTCTCCACTTCTTCCAGGGCCTTTCCTGCCAGAGAGATATGTTCTTGGTTGCCTGAGTTTACCTTCATGATCTTTGTCTTGCTTTTATTTATATTGATTCCGAGCTGTGCTGAAATGGCGGCTACGTCTTTTGTCTTTTCCTGCATTTGTTACTGGTTGTGGGACGGAAGTGCAATGTCATCTGCAAAGTCTAGGTCATTCATTTGTTCCCAGAGTGTCCACTGTATCCCATTCCTCTTTTTGTCTGGATTTTTTCATTATCCAGTCAATGGCGAGGATAAATAGGAAGGGGGACAACAGAGATCTCCTTGTCTGACTCCAGTTTCCACTTTAAAGTCATCTAACTTTGTGGACCACCCTGCATGTCATTTCTTCATATGAACTCTGAATGCTCCTGACTTAGGTCCCTGGTACTCCATAGTGCAGAGGAAGTTTCCACAAGGTTTGTCAGTCCAGGCTATCAAAGGCCTTTTCGTAGTCTCTAAAATTTATATATAGGGCAGTTCCATTCATGGACTATTCTAGAATTATTCTTAGTGTTGCAGGTTTTCCTCTACCCTCTGTATATTTCTTATGTGCAGTCTAGCTTATCACAAATAACCTATACTCTTTTGTGTACAGACTTGCCATGCGTCTAGTGAAGGGATCAAACAAACCAAGGCTGTGTTACAGTACACACTCGGGCAGTTTCTTCACTCCATCTGGACTCAGCATCATAAGAACTGTCAAAGGTAAAACATAATTGAATTGTTATGACAGTTAATTTATTTAATTGTGCAGAAATTATGATTTTTTTTTTCATTGTCCTTTTTCTTTTTTAATGTCCATATCCAAATGATGGTCATTGCTTACCTGGTTTATTTAATGTCTATAGTCATCTCTTACCTGGTCTGTTCAATGTCTATAGTCATCTCTTACCTGGTCTGTTCAATGTCTATATCTAAATGATTATCATCTCTTAACCTGGTTTGTTTCAGAACCTTGGAGCAGGTGTCGCAGTAAATCAACAGGTCACCTCTACTGGTACAACATCAATACCAACAAATCTGTCTATGAATGTCCTCCTGAGTCCAAGGCAACTGTCAGGTTTGTCCAAAGATAACTCTGTGTTCTCTCAGAGACTAATTATCAGTTAATCCACTTCTCATTGGACAGTGTTTTAGAGGCTATTTCTTATTCATTTTTTAATCTCCTGTGCTGTTTGGTCTGTTAAAAGCTTTCCTGTTCTATGAGCATCATATTTCCCTTTATACAGCTTGTTTGCAATATCACTTATGTTATCCTTTAACATTTGATACAAAGCTTAGTCTTGCAAGACATTTTAATCTATCAAAATTTCATGTATCCTTAAATAACCTGTCAATTTGGAAATGAAAAAATTTCTTTTAGTTAGCAGTAGGAAATTTTACATTTGTCAAGTAATTCTTACACCCATCATTAGGTTAAATTAAAGTTTGGATCCAAAAAAATAAATATTTTTCTTCTGTCTAGTTTTTCAAGTATCCATGTCCACTTTATTGTTTGTCTTTAGAGATTGTAAAGCCACCATGCTACAGTGGCATTGGGATGAAGGGGTCAAAGTTCATGCTGATCAAGAGAAGGAGGATCCTGAGCTGGTCAGCAAGTCTCACTTCATGGAGCACCTGGACAAGATTAGACAACTCTGAGAGTGGTCTCACTTCACTGAGCACCTGGATGAGATCAGACAGCAGATTGGTCTGCTTGATGTTAAAAGACCCATTTGGTTTACTCAGTTAGTTGATTGTGGGGGCAGGTTCTCAATAATCTGATATCATCACAGGAGTAGCCTCCATGGTATTAACTGAAATTGATTGAAAAAATATTGTTTGTAGTATGTTTGCACTGGATGACAGAAGGTCAGATGTTTTGTTCCATCAGTGATGTCTGCTCTGTGGATCTGGTAGAAAGGATGATTTTAAATGAAAAACAAATTGCTTTGTGTATGTTTGCATCATGTGGAAAAGTGCCTATGTAATAAACTCTGTGACATTTCAGTAGCTGGATGGATGACATGGATTTTTAGCAATGTGGATGAATTTCCAGTATCCAATAATTTTATGGAAATATTTTCTTTTTTGTTAATGAAAGGTGCAGCTGTTTTTATGATCAACAGTTATATTAAATCAGTGAGATTTTTCATTACCTGTCAGTGGAAAAGTTGGTGTTGATTTTAATTATTAATTATCCTGATTACTGAAGTTAAAAAATTTTCAAATAGTACAGACTTACATTTTTGTTGTGCAAGCACATTTTTAAAAAAAGTGTATGACAGATAGATTACTTTCACTCTCTAGTTTTACCTACTCAGGATAAAACTGTAATATATTATTGTAGAGTGCTTTTATAGAAGTTACCTAAATTATGGTTGTTTTTTTACCAGGCATGTTTTCTTAATTTTTTAACTTGATCATTTGATGTCAAATGTTTGTACACACATTAATGTATGTGTACGTAGAAAAAAAGTTAAACATGAACTAGAATTATTTGTTGGTTTTCATAAAAACAGATAATTAGCCAAAAATTAGGAGCAATTTGGATTAAAAATTTTGTGGTTTAGTAATACTGGGTTATGTCCCATGATGAGTTATATATGTAACAGTTTCTTCCCTTTCCTCAATAAGTTGTACTTGAATAAATTTAGTATTTACTGTGGATTATTTTAACATTTTATTCCTGTTATTTTGCTGTACCAGATTGTTTATTAGGTGACTATTGCTATAGATATATGAAACTCTCTAGTTTAGCGTTATCTCACACCAGTAGAGCAGAGACTCTTTGACTGTGGTTGTGTTTCTGTATTTATCTTCCTTCTAACATTTCATTTTTTGGGGTAAATTTTTGTCATCTTAGTTGTGTTTTGTTTTTTTTTTGTTTTTACAGAAGGAATTATTTGAACTGATCACAAATCATCTGAACACATTTAAAGGTTATATACAGACAAAATGTAAAAATACAAAAAATATCACCTACAAATCTGAGAGACTTTTTGTACTCTTGTAGTTTGGTGACTTGATGGCAACCAACCCACTCATCCTTTCTCTGACTGTACCGGTACATGGACAACAACCGAAATAGTTGATGATAACGATAAAGACGACAAAAATGTCACCATCACATTCTTAATTTTTCTTTAAATTGTTTATAATGTTAAATAAAATAATCTTATGCCATTTCTACTGAGAAAGTGTTTTAATTTGTCATGTTAAAAATGGATTGAATTATCTACTCAAATGACTTGAGCTTTTTCCACCTGTACAGAGCACAGTACTGGCAAGGAAATTTTTAAAACTAGATTTATTGCAAATGTAACTGTACCCATTACAGTTTTATCGAGGGAATGGTTAAAAACTTGATCTATTTGCAATATAACTATACAGTTATACAAAGAGGATAGAGAGAAAAGCAGGCCTATTTAGTGTTGAGCAAATACCCATCATGCTTCTCTGTTGTGTGCACCATGAAGATGGATTTGTCAGTCCAGTTTGGCAGCTGTTCCAGAAGAGGCGGTTTTACTCCAGAAGTAGGATTCAATTAATTTAAGAGGAATAGGTTTACTGCAGTGGTGGGATTCAAGTAATTTAACAGTAAGAGAAGGTTTACTCTAGATGGCCATTCAGTGGACGTGAGGATGTAAGCAAACCACTGGAACTTGTAACCATACCTCCTGCGCTCATACTTCCTACTGAGACCACTTCCTGAGACTTGTACCATCTCCAGGATTTCATACCTCCCCAGAATTCAGAAAACTTCATAGACTTGTTAATACCTTTCACTTCAGACTACCTCCTTGGACAGGGTCCCACCACCAGACTTTAGACCGCATACATAGAACGGGGAACCACTCCCAGACTTCAGACAGCCTTCGTGGGCATGGTACCACCCCCAGACTTTAGACCGCCTCCATGGTACGGGGAACACCCCCAGACTTCAGACAGCCTCAATGGACTTAACCACCTCAGACTTGTGACCGACTCCATGGACATGGCACCAGCCCCAGACTTCATATCACCTCCATGGATTCGTAGCACACCCCCCTCCCTCATGGATGTGTACCGCCTCCAGGTACTTGCACCATCTCCCCCCCCCCTCGCTTACCCGACCAACATGCTTTAAATTACGAAATGAACAAGAGAGTTTCAAACAATGACGTAATGCGCACCACCCTCATTTCCACCCAGCTTCTGCGACAGAGTTTCAAACGATGACGTCATGCGTACATGCGCACCACCCTCATTTCCACCCAGCTTCTGCGACAGAGTTTCAAACGATGACGTCATGCGTACATGCGCACCACCCTCCTTTCAACCCAGCTCCTGCGCCAGTTATACATTTCTCTTTGTGGATGAAACATTCATTTCAAACCTTAAGGTGATGTTTACTTCTTCAAGACGAATGTGATTCTGTCTGATAAATTAAGCAGCCATGTGTTGTTTTTTGTCCACAACCCCGAGGCATAAATTACACGCCAGTCTTGTAATTTCTGGCAACAATGGCTCTAGCTTGACAAACACGGTATTATATTAGACGAAACTCACATCCAAGAAAAACTAATCATTTTCTCTTAAATCTATGCACGCCTATTGAAACAGTTCGATACCATTAGAATACATTATGTTAGAGGTACCGGTAAGACAGCGGGGACGTGGAATCGACAAGAGAGTGTGGGATGCCTATATAAGAAGTATGGGATGCCTATGTAAGAAGTGTGGGAGGCCTATATGAGAAGTGTGGGAGGCCTATATGAGAAGTGTGGGAAGCCTATATGACAAGTGTGGGACGCCTATATAAGAAGTGTGGGATGCTTATATAAGAAGTTTGGGAGGCCTATATACGAAGTGTGGGATGCCTATATAGAAATCCTGTTGAAGACCACAATTTATTATATATAGGCCGAATATATAACTAGAGGACCTATAATGATTTTTTTTTAACGCTACATAACACTGATATTGTCCATCCTAAATTGTGTGAAGTTTTTGGGTTCTTTTTATTAAGAGACGATGATTTGTTTTACTTGGATGCGAGTTAATATATCATAATTAGAGAAATATCGTCCCGATTTAAAAACCAAATAAAAATTTGAAAAAAAGTCTTGAGCTTTAACACAATTAAAGACAGTTAAGGCCCAAAGTAAGACAATTAAGGCCCAAAGTAAGACAATTAAGGCCCAAAGTAAGACAATTAAGACCCAAAGTAAGACAATTAAGGCCCAAAGTAAGACAATTAAGGCCCAAAGTAAGACAATTAAGGCCCAAAGTAAGACAATTAAGGCCCAAAGTAAGACAATTAAGGCCCAAAGTAAGACAATTAAGGCCCAAAGTAAGACAATTAAGGCCCAAAGTAAGACAATTAAGGCCCAAAGTAAGACAATTAAGGCCCAAAGTAAGACAGTTAAGGCCCAAAGTAAGACAATTAAGGCCCAAAGTAAGACAATTAAGGCCCAAAGTAAGACAATTAAGGCCCAAAGTAAGACAGTTAAGGCCAAGAGTAAGACAGTTAAGGACAAGAGTAAGACAGTTAAGGCCCAAAGTAAGACAATTAAGGCCCAAAGTAAGACAATTAAGGCCCAAAGTAAGACAATTAAGGCCCAAAGTAAGACAGTTAAGGCCAAGAGTAAGACAATTAAGGCTCAAAGTAAGACAATTAAGGCCCAAAGTAAGACAATCACTCCCAAAGTAAGACAATTAAGGCCCAAAGTAAGACAATTAAGGCTCAAAGTAAGACAATTAAGGCCCAAAGTAAGACAATTAAGGCCCAAAGTAAGACAATTAAGGCCCAAAGTAGTCATACACACACCACACCCCTGTCCTTTTGATCAAGGACGCCCGTTACTGAGTCCCCGTGGCACCTTTCATCAAACTATTTTAGATTGTGTCCTTATTTCGTATTTGGAAGACATTTTTTTTGTACATTTAAAAATTATCTCTCTATCTCTCTCTCTTTCTCTCTCTATCTCTCTCTTTCACTCCTCCTTCCTCCTCAGCCCCCGCCTCCTCAGCCCCTCCTCCTTAGCCCCCTCCTCCTCAGCCCCCTCCTGCTCAGCCCCCTCCTCCTCAGCCCCCTCCTCCTCAGCCCCCTCCTCCTCAGCCCCCTCCTCCTCAGCCCCCTCCTCCTCAGCCCCCTCCTCCTCAGCCCCCTCCTCCTCAGCCCCCTCCTCCTCAGCCCCCTCCTCCTCAGCCCCCTCCTCCTCAGCCCCCTCCTCCTCAGCCCCCTCCTCCTCAGCCCCCTCCTCCTCAGCNTTAGTGCATCAACCCAATAGAAGAGGTCACGATGACTACGTAACCGTAGCTCGAAGGTTTGTTCGAAATGAAATTTCTTCAAATTAGGGTGTGTGTTTTTTTTTTTAAATTATTTTTAAAAAAAATCATTTTTGTCTTTAATCGTCTTGAATTAAGGGGGAGGTTAAGTGCCAAATTATTTCCCTTGGAACAAATGTTTGTCAGTTTCTACAACTTGGTTTCATGCTCACTTCTGGTAACCTTTCCAATCATGTACATTGTTGATAATTGTAAGCTAGTAAACTTTGATCAAGCGATGCGTGCAGAGGCGTAGCGTGGTGGGGGCAGGGGGGACAGATGTCCCGGGGCGCCAGCTAGTTAGGGGCGCCAAAATGTGCTTTGATATTATTTTATTGATGAAAATAATGGGTTTTAGAGTTGAAAAAAAGAAAAAGGGGCGCTAAAAATATACCTTGTCCCCGGGCGCCAAACACCCTCGCTACGCCACTGGATGCGTGTACCGGTTATTCCACTATAAAAGACTTAATTCCTACAAGACTTTTTTTTTTGTTTCCATAGATATTTTTTTAATAAGATGAACATTTGGATAATCTAGATTTTAAATATTTTTAATTATTATTATTTTTTTTTATTTTTTTTAATTTTTTTGTTTTTTTTTGTTTATGTTACCTGAAAAAATAGTTTGGTTACACTGCTGTCTGCTGCTATCACCGAGAAGAAAAGTGATGGGGTGAAAATATACTGAGCCCAATGCCATGATTGATGAACACGCCAAAAAGGATGAAAAGGAGGGGCGGGGCAAGAGAGCCATGCAGGGCACCGCCAAACAAGCCACCCCGAAATTATCATGTTTACCTCGAGGGAAAAAAGAAAGAAAGAAAAAACTGGTGTCACGTGGACATAAACTGATGCGAGACACGTGACACCACTGTTGCGCACCGAAATAGCCGGTATCCATGACAACCGAGGACCGTATTTCTGGGACCATCATTATCATATTAAGTGATGAAGTATGGCGTCTGTCACCGGCACGAGAATTATGCACGTGCCATTCAAAACAGACAGGTTGCGATGGTCACGCCCAGATTAGGATAATTCTAATTAAGCCTTAATTGGTTTCGAACTTTGCTCAGAGACTTTCTCTCTTTTTTTTTTTGTTTTGGTCGACTTTGAAACCAAACAGATTGAAACAATGCTTTCGTCAGACTTGGTTGGGTCAACTTTTTTTTTTTCTTCATTTTTTTTTTTTTTTTTTTTTTT